AAGAAATGTGAAAAAAAAGTCCTGTATTTTATGATTCCGATCGAAATGATCAATTATAAGGATTAATTCCTCTGTGGCCGAACGGTTACCATGCCGGACTGCCACGCAGAGGTCCCAGGTTCGATTCCCGGGCCGGGAGAAATATTTGTATGACCTACATTTGTTTCTCTCGTGAGTTTGGGTGTAAATTGTGGTTGTCTATATGTGTGTCCATGGCACCCGCGACACAGGGTTTCCCTAGTGCGGGGCTATGTTGAGTGTGTGTGTTATTATTATTATTCCTTTTTAGTAAATGTAGTACCTAAACAATGTTGGATGCTATAATTTGTTCATATACTATTTAATTTTTAACCGATTTTAAAAGAGGAAGAGGTTTCTAATTAGTCTTTTTACGTGTTCATTTTACGCTGTTAGATTTTGTGAAACGATTTCGATTATTCTTTTTTTGTTGGAATGGGATCACTACTAACGTGGGGTACGTTACGTACGTATCTTAGTAGTGATCCCATTGAAATTTGAAGAAAATATTCTACCTCTAACATGAGTTGAGTGAGTCCGGCTTATTGAATTTCACCACTTTCCATTAACCGGTTTTAATAAAACGCGACACATAGATGTAGTTCCAATTAAAATTTGCGGTCTTTTTTTAAATGTTATAATTAAAAATATTTGTTTTAAACCAACTCAAAACATCAGAAATGTAATTTTTTGAGAAGTAGGAACGAATAAAAACAAGAAACAAATGATTTCCTATTTTATAAACGCAAATTTTAAGTTTTTATGACTTATTTTACGTCTGCTATATATTAATACAAATTGCTTTAGCACCTATTTGCAAGCCTGGTCTTCTCTGTTGATTAAATATTAAATATATCTAAATTTTCTGCGACTGAGCCTTTAACGCTACGTAGTAAGAAGGTAATCCTTGTTGCATATTATTTTCAATTGTTACTTTATACAGGTTTAGTAGCAGTAGAGCTCCTTGTAAAAGAGTTCGTCAGGGAAGTACTGCCACCTTACCTATTTCCGCCGCCAAGTAATAATGTCAGCTTTACTGTGTTACAGTTTTGATGGTTTTGAGACATGGGATTTATGTCTCAGGGTGACGAGTGCAGTGACAGTGCCCCTCAGATCTTTGCGATTTAAAGCTCTGAATGGCACTGCCACTGTTACGCATAGGCGTGTAACTTACCATCAGGCGCACGATTAGTTCGTCCCGTCACTTGATTTTATTTAAAAAAATAAGTCTGATTTATACCATTTTGTCTGACTCCCAGACTCGCCTAACAAAACTTAAAAAGCACTTTCTAGACTAGCACGATCTGTCCTTACTTTACTGCCTGTGGCCGAACGGTTACCATGCTGGTCTGCCAGACAGAGGTCCTAGGTTCGATTCCCGGGCCGGGAGAAATACTTGTATGTCTTATATTTGTTTCTCTCGTGAGTGTAGGTTTAATTAGTGCCACTCAGAGCTTTAAATCGCAAATATCTGAGGGGCACTGCCACTACGCCTGTCACCCTGAGACATAGGTTGACAAGTCCCATGTGCCTGTAATATCACCAGCACCCTCCAAAACCCTTCAAAACTGGAACACAGTAATGCTGAAATTACTGCTTGGCGGCAGAAATAGGTAAGGTTGCAGTACTACCCTGGACTAACTCTTTTACAAGGAGCTCTATTGATATTAAAACGTGTGTGTTTCACATTATCTCCACCAATCTACTTATATAATGAATACAACAGAAACATTTAGTACCCTACTCCCTTTTTAATTTCGGCATAGATTGGAGTAAAATCGTCGCACAGACAGACAAAAGACACCAAAAGTAGTATTACGTTATTTGAATTCATAATTCCATCACGATTAGTCGAATCAAAACTTTAACTACAATCATTTAGCATCTCGATGAATGGTCAATTAATATCAAACAGCTTCTTAGCACACCTGTTTTTATTAACGTGTGTATTTTTAATTAATTAATACTCATTTTTAACTCTTGTTACATCTTGGTAATAGGTCAAAGTTTGTGTTGTGTATTCTAATATTTTGTAATTTATTAACCATTGATGTCTACGGTTTGTTAAGTCCATGATTTTGTGAAGAAAAAATACTTTTTGTTTTTAATTGTAGTTTATTATTTTACATAATCTCCTTTTATAGTTCTATATAACCAGCGGTATCCCAACTTCTTCCACCCATGGAAATTTTCTTTTTGTCAAACTGAAAAATAAGCATCTGTTTAAACTATCACTTCCCCATTTAATGCAAATCGGTATAAAATCAGATTAAAGAGTCAAATGGGGGCAAACCTGTGAATAGGGGGATGTGGCAACAAGTTTTGGTATTCTGATTGCAGATAAGAAACGGAATACTCGAAATTCCGTTTTCTCCATCTTCAAAAAATATATCGACCTCACCTAAGAGTCCATGCACACGGCGTGTTCTATACGCGCCGTGTGACGCACGTCACTTGCGCGTCTACGCGCAGTAGAGGCGCTGTGAGCGACGCATGTACCACGCATTTAGATAAGAGATAGTTTTAGTTTTGTTTCTTAATTTCAGTTTTTTTTTACTCTTTATTTATTTAGGGTCTTTAATATATTTGATCGTTATTGAACATGTCAGCCCCATTAGAAAAACGATACCTTAAGAAAACACTTCATAAAATCCAGACAGATACATCAAAATACTACCTAACCAAACATGTATACAAAATCTCCGCGGCACCACATGTTGACTCCGACAAAACAGATTAAAAACACCCAACATTTAATGTACAGTTATTTTTTGAAATTAAGCAATCACATCAAATTCTATACAGGGTGTAATCGCTCAGTGTGCCCAGGGGATTATTCCATAAATATAAGAGATATCAAAAAGCTTTAAACTGATATCGAAAGTACTTTACCTAATGAGTAATTCACTTTTTTTAAATAAAAACTGGAAATTTCCAAAATTTTAACATTAAACGCTCCCATACATTTAATATTACATTCGTAGAGAAGCTTTATTGACCTAATTTAAGAGGTAACAATAAGTTTACAGATAACAAAACAGCTATAAATAAAGTAAAAAACTATCTTTTAATTTAAAAAAATATAATGGCATAATCAATTATTTGGTCAAGTGTGAGTTATCCATAAAAATTAATAAAACTGATGAAATTTTTTTCAGTGCTAATCGACTCAGTTTTTTGTATCATTTCATTATATGGGACGAAAAAAATCGGGACAGAAGAAGTCCTGTTACTTGCTACCATAAAAAAGTACTGTGAAAGATTTTCCATGATAATTTACTTGAATATTTAAGGACGAAGCCAGACGAGAGCAATCTCGTGAGTTATGAGTTGCGATTTTTGAGTCGTGTAATTTACGGTCCATTCGGTTTCATATAAAAGTCCGGTTTGTAGCACACGACGACGCAAAATTAATTGTCTGCCGACTCAAGTGCGTAATAATGACCGAGCTTCGGCCGCACTATGTGACGTGTTTATGCGGGTAGAGGGACGGGTGAGGGAAGGAAGGTGAGGCATGTGGTAGTGACATTTGTTGGCATGTGGTTAGTACGTTACAAATCTGGATATTCATATAAACTTTCATAGACTTGTCAACTTATGTCTTAGGGTGACGGGCGCAATGGCACTGCCCCTCAGATCTTTGCGATTTAAAGCTCTGTGTGGTACTACAACTGTTATGGACAGGACGTGCAGCATACCACCAGGTGCACGACTTGTTCGTCCCGTCACTTTATTATATAAAAAATAAAAGAAAACGTTCGTACGGCGCTTCAACCGAATTTCAGTCGAACATAAATAAGGCTCAAAAAACGCGACTCAACACTCACAAAATTACACTCGTCTGGCCTTATCCTTAGTAATAACAAATTGCGACCGAAATTAAGTACACACTATACTCAGTTGTGATTTCATTTTCAAGAAGAATAATTTTGGCGGGCCATCTTTACGAAAAGAATTCTACAAATAAAGTAATTCTTATGCAAAATTCAGAGGCATTTCCGTTCTACATAATTCATATTCACTTTCACGTTATCTGTGGTCAAACTGAGATTGCGTTTATTTTGTATTTAGAAAAAGTGTAATTCTTGCTCTTTTGTTTGTAACTTTGATTGGATTGGCGAAAGTTAATATTAGTTTTTTCGATAAATTTCGAATGACAACGACAATGGTCTGCTGTGCAATTTAAAACTGGTGTCAAGTCTGATTTGTGTTTTCTTAGTTCTCTATGATGTCAAATCCCGGAATTATTGTATTTTATTCTAATTTTTTATGTGTATCTGCATATAGGAGTACCAGCGTGTGATAGCAATTACAGTGTCTTCTTTGAAGACGGGGCAAAATGACATTTGCTGGGTTGCCAGTTTTCATACAATTTTAAATAGTCATGTATTTGTTGTTGATAGTTTTATCGATAGATTGTGAAAGGGTGTTAAATTTTGCGAAAAATGTCTGAATTATGAAAATTACGACGTTCTAATGATTACTAATTGCGTTATTGTCTTCTTTATTCTTATTTTGACAGTTGGCCTATTATTTTTCATATACATTTTAATAAGAACAAGTGGGTTTGATTATGTATATTTAATAAAAATATAAAACTTTAAAATATGTCTCCTCTTTGTATTTTTAACAGCCATAGTTCTAAATGTAGTACGCTTAGCAGTTAGACCCATTATTCCTATTGATGATGATGATTGGTTCCTATGGATGGTTATTTATTGCATAAGCATAACCAACATTTAGTCGATAGTCGATAGAATATTTATCGATTCCAATCACTAGCTGCTTTCAAGCGGGCAAAACTTCTGCGCAATGAACTGTCATTTCACTCCATTTTCAAAAAAGACAGCCTATAGGCAAAATTAAATTTATAGTGGGCAACAGCAACATAGAGATACTTTTCTCATGGACATCTATTTACAAAAACGCTGTTTTATGACATAAATTTTACGTTTTGTAATTCAACCTTATAAATAACATACCTTAGTGCTAAGAGAGTGCGTGTGGACGAGTGAGCAGAGGAAGATGGCGGCGGAGAGCCAGTGAGCCGACAGCACTGGAGTGCACTCCATGGCGGAACTGAAACAATACAAAACATCAGCTTAATTTATTGAAACTATCATTTAATTTATTCCGTTGTAACAGCACAAACAATCACTAAATTCAAAAGACATCTCGAATTCGAAAAGACTCTCGCCAATATTGATTCCACCTAATTTTGGTTCTCGGTTTATCAAAAAAGTAGAATAGGATTTAAAAAGGTAAACAATATCTATACAATGCTAAACATCTGGACGGTTAGTCGACAAGATATTAAGATACGAAATTTTAAATACAATTTGTGGTTATGGTTCGTTAGTTTTTGGTTTGGTAGAATCGTTAAATAGTGCTCGATTGACACTGAACAGTAAACAAATATATCGATTCGTGTGACAATTCAAAATCTCCATACATCAGATCGGGTGAAGGCCACGGTTCGAGCGCCAGCTGCCATCCGTTCACTTCCGAGCGGCAACATGTTAACATTGTTACAGTAACAACGCGATAAGTGGCGAATTTACTTTTAACCCTCATCTATAGATAATATTAAATACTAAAACATTTGGAACTTGTTATATTGTAATTATTCATACGCGTTGAATGACCTAAAAAGAAACCTAGAAAATTCAATCTGACCTGACCTAAAACGTTCTAGATTGTACAGAATAAAGGACTTTGGACATTGGGCGATTTGAATATCGTAAGGCATTTCACGTGATATTGAAGGCACGTCATTGGTCAATTTAAATTTCGAACAGCATTTTATATGTCATTTGTAACCATGGGATTTACTATATTTTTTAAATCGATACCAAGTTAAAGATATTTATTTGATGACAAAAGCATTCATTACAAAAATGTCTGGCTAATGAATGGTCCCTATAAGGGTTTATGCCCTTATACCGGTTTTAGATTATACAGTACAATTACCCTTATTACAGTTACATAAACTGCATTTCTGGAAACTGGAGTAAACGTACGTGACATAGTGCATGTTATTTTTTATCTAAATATCTAAGTACGTGACAGTCGCTCGATTACAAAATCAATGTTTAAGAATATTAAAAAAGAAATCTTAAAGATAAACGTATTATACAGGGTGTAATAAATTTCACACTAATTTAGGACATAAGTATATAAAGCAATGTTTAAGAAACGAAAGCGATGGTAGCCCAATGAACTTCTCAATTAAGAGATCAAACGGTTCGAATCCCTGTAGCGACATGCACCTGTGACGGTAATTTCTAAGTTTCTAAACCTGCATTTCGAAGAACCTTCACAACCTTAAAAAAACCGGAAAACGTATGAAGAGCACAATCTCCTGTCCTTTAAGTTTGATTAATTTTTGATATAGACTGGCATTGAGCCTTGGGAGTGCTTCCCTAGACCTGTCTTCAAACCGTAAGGAAAACCATAGATGGTAATATAAAATAATTTCTAGTAATTATGTTTTATGTGTTTAGTTTTTTTTTTCAATAACAGATATACCGAGAAATATGATTCTTTACGAAGCGAGTGTATGGAATAATTGTAACGGTACAATTCGATTCAAATAAAGAAATAAATGATTTATGTTCCGACACAACCCACAAAAAAGTAAAAAATTAAAAAGCATAGAACATTTTCTCAGCTTATAACCATAAACAAACAAAAAGCGAGGTCGTCGAACTGGCTGGCAGGACAATGTCTTTTCTGAGAAACAGTGGCGGCGGCGAATTTTTTTTTTAATAAATTGTAAAAGGAAAAAATCCTTGTCGATCGTTTCCGCGTTCGTTTGCCATACCGGTCTATAGGGTCGAGAACTGACATATAATTGGAGCAACTCCGAAGATATCATAATAAACATTTATTTAACGCCAATCTGAAAGATTAGTAGCAGTAGAGCTCCTTGTGAAAGAGTGCGTCCAGGAAACTACTACCACCTTATCTTTTTATCTTTCACCTTATCTACCAGCTTTTCTTTTATCTTCTTCAAGCAGTAATATGAACATTACTGCGTTCCGGTTTTGAAAGGTAAGGGTGCTGGTGAAATTACAGACACATGGGACTTGTCAACTTCAAGTTTCATAGTAACGAACGCAGTGGCACTGCCACTCAGATCTTTGTGATTTAAAGCCCTATGTGGCACTGCAATTTTTATATACAGGGTGGAAAAAATGGTTAAATACGCAAATTTTACTTAAAATAAAGCAGTATTTTATTTTTCGTAATATGAGAACTTATCAGGGTACGATAGTTTTCACAGGCTGGTTTCCGTACATTTAGTGTTGAGTGGTTTCAATCCGTTTTGTATTGCCGTGAATAATTTGTACACATCTCGTCATTATATACACGTCGTTATTGTATAACTGCCTCTGTGGCGGAACGGTTACCATGCCAGACTGCCTCACAAAGGTCCCAGGTTCTATTCCCGCGCCGGGAGAAATATTTGTATTGCCTACATTTATTTCTCTCGTGAGTTTGGGTGTAACTTGTGGTTGTCTAGTTGTGTGTCCACGGCACCAGCGACACAAAGTTTCCCTAGTGCGGGGCTATGTTGAGTGTGTGCGTTATTACAAAAAAAAAACATGTTTGGTCAGGTAGTGTTTTATGTCATCTGTCTGTTTTTAATTTAGTGTTTTCTTGATTTATTGTTTTTCTAATAGGGCTGACGTGTTCAATAATCAACAAAGTCCTTTAATAAGTAAAAGTAAAAAAATTACATATTTTTTAAAAAGTTTGCCTGCACCGAGTATCGAATCAATTAAAGACGTCCACGGAAGTATCATATTTTATATGCGCAAAGAAAATATTAACGTTTGGACACATCAGCGCAAAATTTTTTTTCATGACAAGTCTACCTCGCTGTCCACCCACCATTCATCATGATCCATCACCATCCTTCATATAAACACAACCCATATCCACCACAAGTAATAATAGACCAGAGTTAATAAATTACGTCTAATGTAAACTTGTTAAAAATCCTCAAGGTGAATGTGATGATTAGTCAAAACATTTTGACCACTTCCTAAGATGTATGTTTGTCTATGACCAATATACAGTTTCTGGAATAGTGTTTGCTGTTAACAATGTCGGCTTTTATTGATTTTGTAATTGTCTAAAATAAATTAACTTAGATATTTGATTGTCGAAATTTAGTAGTACCTACTTAGAACTATGTAGGTACTTTTTCTTTTCGTGTGCTGTCGTTTTGACTGGAACGTGGAGTCGCTATTTTATCAATCAATCAATTTATTTATTTATTTATCTTCTTATTTTAAATAATAATATAATAATTATTATTTATTTATTTTCGGTCAACCTAATCCATATTAAATTAGTAACAAACTTATAAACTATGTTAGTAAATTATTTTAAATAAAGATCGCGTAAAATCTATGAGGTGCTTTATGAGAGGTCTCTCCACTTTCTTACGAATCCTATTTAAAAGAGAAGCGATTTTTTTCCGTAGTATGGCAGAAAAGGAGTCCGCAAACATTTCAGAGAAATTACAGAGTTTCGACTGGCGCAACATCATCCTAAAATCATTATTGTATTATTGTAGCATTATTGTATACTTTTGAGTATGTCGGTTCCACAGGCTACCGACATAAAATAAGACCGTAAAAATAAGAACAGTAGGCCTTGAAAAGGGTTATCTTGGCCGCAGCAGAGCATCGAGAAACAACCACATATTGGCCCTTACTGATAAAGCTCTCCGCTCCCTCTCTATATCATCACCGCCTCTGAGATCAGGCTTAAATGTCCTACATACTTAAATTTAAACACTGTTAAGAGCTACCCCATTGAATGTGAAAGGGTTGTAACCCTAAGAACCGTGATCAGGATCACGGCAGTAAATCAGGAAACTTCCGGTCCACTAATTTATTTAACGTGAAGTAAAAGGTAAAGTAAAAAAACTCTTATCGGGTTTTACTATGTTGAATTACAGATATTGGATAGACTGTTATTCGCTCATTATGGTCGATACATGATTTACATTCATTGTATTATGATTAAACTTGAAAAGAATAAAACATTAGACAATTTGATTTAGTAGTTCTGTCCGCTATCACGGTCAAGCAGAAAGTGACCTTGGTACGAAGCAAAAATGAGAAAGTGAAGGAAGGAAGATGGAACAATTCAAATTTAAAATTTAAATACAAGCAAAAGAAAAAATGATACGATATAAAAAGGTGAGATGACGGTGTAAGGAGGTCAGACCGTCACAAATGCGATCGGTGGTACAACAATAGGATATTTACTTCATGCCTTTAATAAATCCAACGTGTCTATATTTGGCATGCAAATTTGTATGTCATTTAAATATTTGGTATAATTAATTACCCATTTCACCAAATAGTGCCACTACTGTTGATACAATAGTGTATTAACTCAAAAAATGTATTTTTTCAGAATCGATGAACAACGAATTACTTACTTCCCGTGATAGATCATTAAAATTAATGTATAGGTTAAAGTTTATTACAGACATTTATTTCCTACTTGCCAAATATATGCAAATGAAATAATAAGGAAAAATAATTTAATATTTTTGCGTAAGGACTGTTTTGGCCAGAACTAGCTCGCCTGAAGTTTGTCTCAGTTTGATTTAAGTACCTAAATATATTTCAATTGCTTTTTTACAATACTCTAACAACGGTTTCATTGACGTGTAGGAACTCAAATTTTACGTTTAACTGGGATAATTATAATCTTCATTTTCACATAATTTGAATTACAACCCTATTGTAATAGCTGTGCGATATCATCGATCATTATCATTCCATATTCTTGTTGAAAATTATACATGTAAAATAAAATTACAAAAGATATATAAAGAAATTCATGAATCATATGTCAACGTCAAAGAAATCTATGAAAGAATAAAAAATAATATTTATTTAAGAAAGCTAACCGTGGTAACCAAATAATTTGACCTACCGCCTCTCAAGCTGAGGCCGTAGGTTCGAATCCGAGCTTGCACCTCTCTATTTTTCGGAATTTATATGCGAAATTCACCAGCCTTTTCTGTGAAGGAAAACGTCGTCAAGAAA